ATATATATATATATATATGTGTCAGAGAGCTGCAAGTCCGTCGATTCCTCTCGACATACCGGCGTTTCGACGGTGGTGAAGCCCATGATGCCGACCATATGGTCGCCGATTTGCCGGATGATGCTGGAGCGGCACAGGGCCGTGATGGGAGAGGCGTGAGGTCCGAAGTCGATGTTGGTGCACACCAGTGGATGCGACACGTTGTCCATGTAAGGCAGCAGGCCGGTCAGGCCGTCGTCAAACTCGTGGTTGCCCAGAGCCTGTAGATATGACTTCGGTCAGGACACGGGCGAACAGTTGTGATTTATTGTCCGTGCTATGGATGGACTGTGAATCGATTTCTCGGGTTTGCTCTTAAGCGGGTGCATATCTTATGGAAAATATTTTGCTTCAGTTTTGTTCAAGATGTACTAAATTGTGTAAAGTATGTTTTATCCTTGTTCTCAAGACCTCTTATCACGAGTACGAGCATTACATCGAGGTCACAGTCCTCAAGTCTAGAGAAATAACGTCACCTAGACCCCAAATCCAATTCGCTCCCGGAATTTTCGAGCTTAGCTTATTGGCTTTGCAAGAGTTTGTTGTTGTTTTTTGGACTTTTAAAGTTGCCTTTATCGGAGCCGAAACGTCGAGGGCTCGCGTACATTACGAGTCCCTGCACTTTACATCCGGAGGGGCCTGACCCCACAGGCAGTGTGTCAAAAGTAAAGATTTTGGATGGAAATGTTTGAGAACTTTTTTCAACACGCAAAATGTCGTCTGAAAAAATAAAATCAACGAACAAATTGATTAAGCACATGCTAGAAAAGACAAAATATTGGACACCTGTCACCAAAGATGTTGGATTTTCAGGTATAGATAACGTATGTTGTCCCGGTATTCAATTCATCAGCACATATAATTCCTCGTTTATTTGATTTGGGGATTTCGGCGAAGACTTCAGTCCTACAGGGCACGTTTTCCTGACACCATCTTGCAACATTGTCCACAGGTTTCACGGCACTCGCGTCATCCACTTTTTAAGCCTGTATTTGTGCTCTTTTGTTCCTCACGTCAGGTCGGATGGATGCCCTTGCAACAGGTCCCAAGCGCGGTGTCGGTACGCATCATGAATAGACCAGTAGGAATGGGCTTTCAATGAATAGCTTATTCACGGGAGTGGGGTTTCACAAAATGGAGTCGGGTGAAGGGCTAAGCGGGGGAAATGGTTAAACATACCTCAAAATACACTAAAAAAGCACTTATACCCAGACCTGGCCTACGCTTTGCTGTTATTTGTATCCCATTTATCTGACTGATTGAATAGGAAAGTACGGCCCCGGTAGAATAAATATCTTCCAAGCGCGGTGTCAGAGACTGTGCGAACAACGCACTACTTTTTGTGACAGCTCGAGCATGGGCCAAAGATGACGATGAGCCAGATCCGTGAATTTGCTTCAACATTTGTTCAATCCACACAACTGTGCGTTTGGTTTCGGCCGGGCCCTTTCGGACACTTTCTGGTGGTTTAGAGCAGAGCTAACACCACGGTAACAACGCAAGCGGGTCAAATCAAGCAGGCATATGCAGCCCTGCCCAGTTCAGCAGGCATATGTAGATAATGGCGTGGTACGCCAGAGTTCAGCGTGGGAGGCCTGGGGCGAAACCATCTAGTAGTTCAGACTTTCGCCTCCTACGTGAAAGTTCCGAGCTTTAAAGGGAGTGTTCCACATTTATATGGGGTTTTGAACTGAAAGAGACATTTTAAAGACATTTCGGTGCTGTTCACAATCCTTCCGTTCTTAAAACCCAAACCCCTCAAGTTTCTGAGCTACGCGCCCGTGAAAATGGGGAAGGTATATAGGGGAGAATATTTCAGTCACCACGGCATTCATGACGCCATAATAACGTCGTTCATATCCTGCCATTCCGTAAGCCATGCAGCGTTCAAGGCCAAGAAAAATCCACTTGTCGGGGCGTTCATATCTAGTCATATCGTTTGTGAGCGCGATTCCCAGATACAACACCTTGGCTTGTGCTTGGTTAATTAGCTCTCAGTCAATGCTGTGCAAGGTACGATGACGTAATCAACATATGACGCATTGGGGAGCATGTTAACTGAGCTGAAAATTACTCCGTCTAGTGCAGTCTTTTCCACTTAAAAAGCATACCAATGACTCTAAGTTAGCTTGATCCATCATATCTGATATTTGGCTAATCGGCATGCTTCAATATCTTCAAATGTGAATCTTTCCTTTCATTTTCTGGCACTGAGGCCCTGGGCGCTACATGACCACCTCAGTCGATACCATTTAACAAAACCTCACGATTGGTGACGACCTGAAGCACATCTCTTTGAAAAGCGGAAGGCTCAGGTGCTGCTGGCAACTCACCATGGCATCATATTGCACCCGGTTGATCATGTCCGCAGCCACGTGCCACTTGAACATCGTGTAGTATTTATGACCTTGAAAGATGTCGCCACCGTAGAGCATCAGAGTGTGCGGCACGTTCTGCTTGTAGGTGTTGACTGCGTGGACCAGCCTGCCTATGCCGCCGTAGCACTGGCCAGAGTCCTTACACTCTCCCGTGGTGGCGCTGACCGGGTCGAAATGCGCGTGAATGTCGTTGTTGTGGAGGATGGTGATGTCGAGCTCGCAGGTGACGAAGCAGGCCGCCAGGAGCAGCAGAAGAGCGCGCGATGGAAACATGACGGAGCCGTGATAGTGTGCTGGAAAGAGGAAACAAGCTCGGTTAAACAACAGTCAATGGATATCGGTTTGGAGCTGAAGCGTCAAGTGTAAGCTATCGATATCTAAAAGAAGTAAAAGTGGCATAACTTTGCTGTTAAAAGGAGCGGTGCAGCAATCATGAAGCACGGTGATGATTGCGTGCTGAAGGCGTGTGTGATCCTCTGCTTAGTTTATTAGGATAGGTACCCCTACCGTATCCGCCTGTGGTGCCGCGCTTGACTGCAAGGTAAAAACGTGGGTAAATATCGAAAAGACGGATAAAGCAAACCACTTCTTTCGTCGAATATCGTCACACATTACACAACAAAAACAACTTTGGACTTTCACGAAAAAGGACCACCGCGGCTTCCCAGCCAGCCCGCTACTGCTTCTGTCCCGCAAAAGGACCATCGCCAAGAAGGTCAAGACACCTGCAAAATGATGCCAACGATCTACATCACACCCTTCCCTGCCTCCCAAAGTCGCAGCCGGGATGTGAACGCGCGCGACCGATCGGCAGTCCCCTACCTCGCTGGGTTTCCAACCACGGCTCACACCTCTGATAGGAGCAGGATGCACGCGCCCGCCCCCACCTCCCCGGCCGGGCCTCTGACGGCGAGTGGCGGCTGTCGCCAGGGCCCTCCGCCGGCCAGCACGCCGACCCGACGGCCGGGCGCAACAGCATCTGCGCCGCTAAACGTGCGGCCCGAGCTGTGACGTCACAGGTGTTCTGCTGTCTCTGGCTAGAGCGCCATACATCATGTTGTCATACATGCGCACAGGCGACGGGTCTGCTGGAGCTCGTCGTTGCGCTGGTTTAGCCGCTTTCTCCGGCACCAGTTGGTGGAACCCCGTGCGGGCGGTTCTGCTTATGATGCTTATTATGTCGTCAAAAAGTGCAACTCAATTCTTTCCTGCTTGTGAAGAACTCGCCATCGCCTTACGCTCGAGGTTCGTTAACTCTCATCCAGCTTCATGTTTTCCCTCATCTTCTGTGCTGTCTCTCCGTCTGGGGTAGGGCTGAAGCGTGTCACCTAAACAGGGCCCAAGGGGTGATAAACTTTGGGCTCAGAATCGCCACCGATGCTCGTCGTGCGGGATTCAGTGGCGGCGACTGTTCAAGCGCTGGGCTGGCGCGGTGTTAGTGACCTTGCCACCCACAGCGACGGCCTCGCTGTATTCAGGACCTCTAATGACTCGCGGGCTCCGGTGGCGTTCAGGCCCCTATTCAGCCCACGTACTGCTGTATCACAGCGTGCCACCCGGGCGGTAGCGGCAGTCGCGCTTGATCTGCCAGCTCTGCGCCTGTCAGTGGCACGCGGGGCTTTTTCGTGTCGCGCGGCCTCGTCCTGGAGCCTTCTGCCGCCGATCATCGCCGCCTCTCGCACCCGCAACGAGTTTCGTACCAGGCTAGAGGATTTAGACGGTCCCGTTGTGTAATCATTGCTTGCTTACCGTTGTGCAACATGAGTTGACGATTTAGATTTTCATCATCTATTTTGTTTTTGACAAAGTTGTGTGGACGGCTGGATGGTTGTTAACGAATGTGACTGCGTTGTAATCATTTTTAACATTGCATCATGCTACTATTGCAATTATAACGAATCAAACAATAAGCCACCTGTTGGAATAATCCGTGAACACAGTGAACTGAAGTGAACTAAAACGACGTTATGGCGCTATGAAACAAGCCGCGCTCAACCTCAAGAGAGCGCTTCACTGCCACCTGACACCTGTGCCTCATCGTCTCTTGAGGACGAGCTAAACTAAAAATATTGAGCATCACCAATGCAATCGTTGTTTAGCACTACACCGTCGCTTAAGCAGTACGTACTGTTATAATGAAGGTCGTTAACTCAGCATAAATTTTTTAACTCATCATTCCTTTATATAGCATTCCGTCGAATTTGCGTGACAATGGCCTGATCTTCGTGTGTCACTTTAGCTAAACAGAGTGAACCAAGCTGCCCTATCATTTGTCACACTAGCATGTTGACCAATATGTGTACTACGAACATTGCAAAACCACACGTGCTGAGAAAAGCGACGCAAATGAAAAGCACGATGGTCATAGTAGTGGCAGGGTGTTCGATCCAACAGCTCCAGGCCTTCCCCCTTCCCCCAAATTAGGCTCTAGTCGCCCCCCCCCCCCCCCTCAAGACAACAAGAGGAGAGAAGATGGGAGGAAAGTGGGCAAACCGGGAAAAAATCTCATTGTTGGTGTACTTGGGGGGGGGGGGGTAGTGTGCGCCATTTTCATCGTTGACTACCCCGACTGACTTGGCGAATCTGCGGGTTGTGAAATACGGATGAACGGAATCTTCGGATCGGATTGCGTTACGTGTGCTGGTTTCGCCTGCGGCAAGCTTCGTAGAAAAAATTTCATAAAATGATAAGTTCACCCGACGCAAACAAGTATTTTCCCACGTGAGCCAAAGACAGGTCTGGGGAGAGAGTCATTTCTCCTGCCGCAAGCTATCAACGCCTTGCGCTACCATTGAGAGGTTACATTTGCCTTCGTTTCTCAGCTGGGAGTGCTGTGATTTAGTGTTGTGTTTTCCGGTGGTAAGATACGTTTTGCTTCGTCACTGGGATAGAGGAAGGGCAGTCTGGTTGTCATTCCTGGGTAACAGCTTAGAGAGAACATGAAGCACAGATGTTGCCCAGTTCCTTATGTGTACGTGCTAAGTGACCAACACAAATCCCGCGGTAGGGATGCATGATGGAAAATTCGTCGGAAGCACTGAACTAATGTTGTCGCACTCGGCACATGAGCAAAGAAATCCCGATTGTGCACGACTTGCTTTTATTTGTGCGGAATGGACATTTGAGGGGTAGCCTTGTCTAATTCCTCTTCACATGTTTTCCCCCGAGAAGCACATCCATGACAATCGAGAAAAACGATTTCGGTTACGATGCATTACGTGTAAGACAGCATGCGCCTAAATTCCGGGCTGTAGCTGTAAACCTCGCTTTGGATAAACATGTCATATATTAAATCAAATCCAGCCCCAAGATGGGCTACTCTGAGGGATCCTATTTCCCCTTCACTTTTCATTCATACGATGCGACGACCACATCAACTAACTTCTCACAAAAGCGCTTTGTGCATAGGCTAAATTACCATACATGGCGGTCGTCCGGAAAAGTTTAGAAGTCAATGCTCGTCTGTCCGCCTTGTGCACCGAAGCTCGTGAGCGCGCGGCGCCAGAACACCCGGCGGAACAGCTGTGGCGCCGGGATGCCATCGGCCACTGGCGCGTGGCTGTTGTCGCGTGCCGTCAGCCGGGCCTCCGCAGAATGCACGTCATCCAACGTCACTGGCCCAAGGCCGCGGACAGCACGGCCTTATCACGGGGTGAGAGTTTTGTGGTCGGCAGCCGTGTGCCGTCAACGACGTGACCTGCAGGCGCGTGCAAAGTTTTGCACTCAGGGTGGTCAGGGTATCGGAAACAATGTGCTAGCCGAGTTCGGCGAATAGAGACTGCCGCCAGGACCACCGAGCAGTACCTAACTTGAGGTGCGCCGCGCCAGGATGCTGATGAGGTGTGCCGCGCCAGGATGCTGGTAAGGTGTGCTGCACCAGGATGCTGGTGGGTGTGCCGCACCAGGATGCTGGTGAGGTGTGCTGCATCAGGATGCTGGTGGGTGTGCCGCACCAGGATGCTGGTGAGGCGTGCCGTGTCAGGATGCTGGTGAGGTGTGCCGCCCCAGGATGCTGGTGAGGTGTGCCGCCCCAGGATGCTGGTGGGTGTGCCGCACCAGGATGCTGGTGAGGTGTGCTGCACCAGGATGCTGGTGGGTGTGCCGCACCAGGATGCTGGTGAGGTGTGCCGCGTCAGGATGCTGGTGAGGTGTGCCGCGCCAGGATACTAATGAGGTGCGAGTGCTCAACTTTCCTTAGCAACTCCCCGGAACCCATTTGCAGAAGCTGAGAATGTCAAGGTTTGGTGCGGTCGGGGGCTTCGATAGACACTGGTGTCTGGGTGATCGGTTTCGATCGACTGCAGCTGGTATCAACGACGACACAGTGGACGTGGTCATTGGAGTATAAGCCACAGAGCAGGAGGTACACAGAGTGGGTCGCTTTGAGCCCACGAGACATGACTGGGCCGTTTGGGTCGATGGCGGTAATGAAGAAGCTGCAAAGATGTCCTCCATTACCACGAGGACATCCGTAAGTTCGTCGTCTGCCTTTGTTGCTGCACACAAGCTGACCTCTTCTTGGAGTGGTTCCAGCAACTTGGCGCTGCATCCCGCACTGCAATTGCATCAGGGGGCCTGCTCTGCGGGACAATTCAAAGAAGAATTATCTTATTCAAGACTGACAGCATCTGGCCGCCTCACTGGCTGGGTCACGCCCTGTGAACTCTTTTGTGTGGGGTCACGCGAGAAACCAGGCTTTCAAAACAAAACCAAGGACAGCGCAGGACCTGCGGCGGCTGTGGCGGCGGCCATGCCATCCATCTCCGATGAAACCTGCCAGCATGTTGTTAAAAAGCTCCCCAGAGGATCGAGACAGCCCTGCAGGATCGGGGGTCGCATGTGGCGGAAGCATGATAGCCGACTAGCTCTGTGTTACTGACAGCTATTATTGCTCGTTTGTACGTGACAGTATTGTAAAGCATCCACGATATGTCCATTTAAAACGTCCGCGCTTTTTGGCTGCAATGACGGGTTGTAAATTGGTATGAAGTGAACAATCTGATTTGTGCGAATTTGAAAGCGTTTTTTTTCATTTTCGGTGCACCCGTATATTTCCAGCTGAAGCGGAGCGATGATTTGAAATTGGTATATTTGGACAATACGTCTGTGGTGTCTGTTGGGCAATATGTCTGCGCCGTTACGTGCCATCAGAGGTCACGGAGAGGTGGACGGAGAGCCCCGCCGGGTCTCCACTCGGACCGGCCGGGCAGTCGTGCCCGGGTCTCCGCTCGGGCCGACCGGGCAGTCGTGCCCGGGTCCCCGCTCGGGCCGAC